AGAGGACATGTACTAAGAAGAAGGATTTGTCTTTCCGTAAGCTTTTGTGAAAAATTCTGTTCTAATCCGGTGAGTGCATCAACAGCATATGAAGAACTCACACATTTGATCACAGCAGGTAGCAGTAATGTTCCAAGGTAAGATTCGTCATTTTCCGTTTGCTTTTTTTCTAAGCGTTGAAACATTAAGAGAAGAAAACGAATTGATTTCAGCAAACGCAAATTGTCCAGATGCTTTCCATTTGTACTAATTTCATTCAGACAAGTTGCCAGTTCATTAACTAGCGGTCGATGAAGTAAAAGTTGTTTAAATGGAATAAGATTCGTATTGTTGATATGGTAGCAAATATTTGCAAATAAAACCGATAGATCGATTAATAGTTCTTGGACAGTATCATTACTTTCTCGCTGACGAAGTTGATCAACAATACACTCTCGTAGAAAGATCATGAACTGATGCGTAACCAATTCGAGTTCGGCAAGATGCTTACATTTATTTGGAAAATTGACCAATATGAAAACAATTTGTTTGATCGATGTCATATTCTCACTAATGTTATTGATCTTTTTCATTTCCAAGATAAATACATCGAAAGAAGCTTTGATCTGTTCTGTAGTCATCGTTACTCCGTGCTCTCGCATTGCTGCACAATGTTGATCTACTATTGTACTCATCGTCAGCGGATCAATAGAAATCTGAAAGATCAAAAAGTTTATCACTCTTAATGGTGGGTGTGGATGTAAGTGCGGGTGTCGGTGTGGGTGGGTGTGAGTGTCGGTGTTATTCTTGTATCACACCCACACCCTTTAATAACTAGATCTAGTTCGTTCTAACCATTTTAGGAAAAAAAGATGAAATCTACTTTCTGATACATTTAAAAAAGCAATGCATGTTATGAAAAGATGAATACAAACATTTAAATTATTACAAAAACTAAAAAAGAATGTAATTAGTTCTTCCTGAATAAGCAAAAATTCTAAACATCATTATTATAGTTTTTTTGAAGTCGAGTCATTTCAATACGAACTTCAGGTATTACTGATCGCTCTTGTTGTAACAATGGGTGCCCTACTGTTGTATATTCTTTATTCAATTGCTGATGTCGCTTTTGACTGATTGAACTGCTTCCTAACAATGACATAAAATAAAGACGCATTAAATATCAGGAAAATAGAAACGTTTTTTTACTTGATGTGTCTCTAATGAGTGGAGGCTCTGATTCACCCATTTTTGCATCTGCAATTGCCATCATCATCCAATTCATTGATGTTATTATCTATTTTCACATTTTAGGTAAGTGGTGTTAGAAAAGTAAAAATAGATTAAACTTGCTTCTTTCATATCTGTGATCCATCGATCACAACGAGTTTCCATTTGAACAAATCGTGTTTGAATATCAGTCACAAGAGTCTTGATACGCTTTAATTCATCAGCATTGTTTGATGAAGATTCAGACCTACGTGTTTGTATCATTAATACAATATCATCACTTTCGCTAGTGTCAACTTACGTAACATCTGTAGTCGTTCCCTTGACAAGTGCAGTAGCTTGATCATCGAGCAATTGTCGAATGTAACCATTGGTTGAATATCGTTCAAATTCCAACCACGCATGATCAACATCATCATTAATTGGAATCATTTCTAAAACGAATACAACTAGATAAATGCGTGCCTATTTAATTGAAAATATTATTTACTGAAACATTGAGATTGTTCTTCCTTTCCATTACGATTTCTGTATAATTTTTTCCAACACCATTGAAAACATTGCATAATTGAAATGAGAAATGTGAATGGAGGAAACAACGCTGGTCGGGCGTGATAAGTGCGAATAATGTCACAACGATCGTAGGCCCAAACATAACGTGCTTGTGTTTGAATATCATTTATTGTAAAACTAAAACAAGATTTGTATTACTGTTTTTTTCTCAATTTTATATACCTGAACAAAGCAATCAATAAGTTCATCAATAATATATTAACAAAAAGCATATGAAAAGCAAATATGATTTGTGTGACTATG